TCTTGTATCCATTATATCAGTTCTAATGAGCAAACGCGAGGAAAAATCAACAGCACTTCAAGATGTTGAGTCATCAAAAGTCGATGAACATAAATCTCCAAAGCGACTGGCAAACACAAAAATGAAGGAAAAGGTTGAATCAGAAAAAACAAGCCAACGTAAAAGGCGAAGGAAAAGTGTATCAAAAAGCAAAGGCAAAGAGAAGCGGCGAAAATGAATGACAAAAGTTCAGTTTGACTTGAAATTTCATGAGAAACGAGAGAAAATGTTTCATTTTGTGAATTTAAAATTAAATTGTAAATAATTTTCACAAGACTTAATGTATTACTTTGCTTTGAAACAATTCACACCATATTCAACACACATTATTATATCAAGATCTGTACAGTTTCATCTCATGAGAAGTATTTTGTTTTAAATTTTTTGATGAAAAGATTCGAAATAGTTTACACTTTTCAATATTCATCAGAGTCGATTGCTCTCAGTTATTTAATTTCGCTGCTTAAAGGGAAGCTATAAGTTAGAGATATTATCTAGAATTAAGTAGCTCCATTTACATACAGAATTATATCTTTTATCAGTAACCGTATCCGAAAATTCATATGATGCTGCAAATACTGTTGATTAAATCAATGAGAAAAGTCGGATTGTGGAAAATATTTAATATTTGTTTTCTGAAAATGAAACTTTTCAATTGTAAAACCAAATAAAATTTGTCTAAATTTAGTTGCAAATTGATTTATTTGTAATTAGATTATCGAAAGTCAATACCAGAAGAAAAAATAATTTAATCTGAAAAATCAACAAAAAATTTACTATTTCTGTCCACTCCTCGAACAATTCAATATGTCCAGTCATTTTGTTCTTGAACCCGATGAAGATAGTGCTTTAAAAAATCAACCATTTACAGACTCTTCTCAGTTAAACTTTCTGTGGTAAACGATTCCTATGTGTTTCAATTGATATCAAAATTAAATTTTAACAAATGGTGTAAAATAATAAAATTTAAATTTATATCAGTAACTAAAGGATTCTCAGTTATTTTACATTGTGATATTTTTTATTTTATATCATATATCATCATGTTAGACTCATTATTTAAATTTTAATATTCAATTTAACGTTTATTTGAGGTTCAGTTTCAAAATGTTTTGTGTAGAGGAACGAGAAATGTTAGTTTTTTTCCCAAAAAATTGCTAAGATCCAACAGCTTACAAAAATTGTAACCAATCTGAATTTTTTTTGGGTTTACAGTGATAATTAGGGGTAAGGGCAGTCTGGATTTATGGACATTTTTAATTTGAATTTTAGATGAATTCCAGAATTAATTGAACCTCTTGAAATCATCTTTCGTACCAAGTGTAAGCTTTTGTTTAGCTTTTTATTTAATGTAAATTTTTTTGACTGAATCCATAATCTTGATGGTCTGGAGACCGGCTAGTCATTAAATTTAAATTTAAAAAAGATTTCACCAAATTTAAATTCTCAAATTTTCTCCACTTGCATGGACGGTCAACAAGTACGTTTAATCTTATCAGTCGCATGAACAATTGAACTCTAATAAGTGAATGTCATTGAAAGGCAAAGACTACTCTTCTTAAGGAAATAAATATTGATTTAAAAACCAATGCTTCTAGCAGTGCTTTTACTATAAGTAAGTTTTCTCGTGAAATGGTTCGATATCAATTTCCTAGCATTCCCATTTATTGTAGATCTAAGCACATAGCACACTCCAAACACAAAATTATATGAAAAGATTGAAAAACATGTCACAATTTGAATAGATTTAAAGGTTAAATCAAAATTTTACTTACTTGGGGTGTGTTGACATTTTTGTTATTAACTGATAACTAAAAATTCAAAGTTAAACACAAAATTAAGAACAGAGAACGAACAAATCTTTGAAACTCTGACTGATTACTCTGATCTCTTTATTTCTCCCTACTATAGAGAAAACTTGGAAATTAATTTTAATTGTTCCCAAGTCAGAGCGATTAAATAAATTCAGCCATTTGTTAATTTAAACTAATTGCTTTATTCTTATCTGGCATATTTAAAAATGCTATTTCCCTGTGAAGGTTCGCATCCGAAAAATATCGTTATACATTGTCCCATATTCAAATGTGTACTAAAGGTGCTAAAATCAATCTTGAAACAAGGTTTTAAATCTTGGCAAAGATCATTTGATTCCGTTGCTTGGAGTTGATGAGACAAAATGATATACGATAAAACAAAATTTGAATTCAACTCTTTTGTCAATGGTTTATTTGTCAATGATAATCCTGATGTTTAGGGCTGAGACGGCTCAGAATTGCTATGTTTCTCTCAATTTTTTGACCAACATTGTAAACACTTCAACTTCAATATTATAGTCTGAAATTAATTGACTTATTTTTAAAGTCATTTTTGAAACCAGAAATTGGGTTATTAAAGTGAATATTTTTAAAAATTAAATTTCATGCAGGTCTGACGGGACAGTTAGTTTTATAATAAATTTCAATTTTAAACTCCTGACTTTCATCTTCATTGTTAAGAGTAACTTGTCTTTGATGACAATTCAGAAGGAATCAGAGTTTTTAAAGTTGAACAGATTACATGAATTGCTGGAGATGAATGAGCTTTAAGGGAATCTCAACTCTTTCTGATGTTTCCTCACTGGACTTGAGTCGGGTTCAATTGATTGCATCTAATCATTTGAATCCACAATTGACTTTTCCCTTTTTCTGGGCATTTGATTTTACTAGCAATCAAGTCCCTGAAGTGATCTAAAACAATAACAACTGGTTTATACCAATCAAAATTCATAGTTGTCGGTAAAAAGAGATTTATATTCACCTAATTATTGTAAACCTTAATGAATAATAGTGTTAGACTCATTCAGGTTGTTATTAACACTAAAAAGACACAATTGTCACATTTATGCACAAAATTGACACAAACCGTAGAAGAAAATGGACAAAAACGGGTTAAAATTACTTTCTTCAAAATTTAAACTCTGTTGATTTGTTGAGAATTAAAAACTGAGTCCGTTCGTGCGAGTGAAAGTTTCTCTGGCCAACAGTTTTCGAGGAAATCGCGTTCAAAGTTGAAACTTTGATCGCCTTTTGTGCACTTGTGTGAACAGATTTTTTCATGAAACTCATTTTGTTATTGTAAATTTTCATAGCCAACCAGAAAAGGTACTTATTTTGAGAAATGAACTTTTCTATTTCTGTAAAACAGATCAAGTTCGATCTACAGTTAAACCGACGTTTTTCTGTGACCGTAAAAATTAGCAAGTTGAAACTTATTATTAGTTAATAAAAATTGTTATTACACATCACGAAACTAATAATTTTTCCAACTTTCTAGCCGTTCTCTTGATTTTGGCCATTGGCCTTAAAACTTTACCCCTTATTATTTCGACAATGGCATTACCTAGAATCGCCATTCTTTGGCCGAACATTAGATTTTATTATGATGTCATGATGAGTTCATTTAAGATCCTTTGTAAAGAGCTATAGCATTGTATTACTTATGTTATCAAATCTGAGCTTGATTTATAAAGTTAAATAGTTTCTCAAAAACAAAGTTTGTGTGCTAGAAGGATATTCGTTATTAAAGCAATAGTTCAGATTTTATTTGGTATTCAATCGTATTGTATTATAGCAGATAATAAAATCTAATGTTCGGCCAAAGAATGGCGATTCTAGGTAATGCCATTGTCGAAATAATAAGGGGTAAAGTTTTAAGGCCAATGGCCAAAATCAAGAGAACGGTTGGAAAGTTGGAAAAATTATTAGTTTCGTGATGTGTAATAACAATTTTTATTAACTAATAGTAAGTTTCAACTTGCTAATTTTTACGGTCACAGAAAAACGTCGGTTTAACTGTAGATCGAACTTGATCTGTTTGACAGAATTAGAAAAGTTCATTTCTCAAAATAAATACATTTTCTGATTCCTCATCAATGGTTACATTAGCGAAATGAGTTTCACGGAAAAATCTGCTTCCATAATTGTACAAAAAGCTATCAAAGTTTCAACTTCGAACTCGATTTTCGCAAAAACCATCCATTGAAGGGGTTATTTAAAAGCATCAATGGATTCAGTTTTTGCGTTTCTACAAACCTATCAAGTCTGAACTTCATTGCTTACATTTTCGAGTCTTTTGCGGTACTTTTAGCTTTGCATTTCCAAGTTTAACCAGAAAATTGGTTTATTTACCAAGAAATGGGTTTATATGAGTTTGTTTTGTTGAATAAGTTGTTACTCTTGCATTTAAAACCCAAAAATTATGACCCAAATAAGCTAATGGACATTTGTTTGAATGCATTGAATTTTCAATTAGTAAAGGTTTAAGTTGGTGAAAGAATGCTGACTGTAGATGCTACCATTCTCGAAATATCGAGGTTCGAAGTTTGTAAACTAATAGCCGAAATCAAGAGAACTATTTCTGAATCGGAAAAATCATTCAACCCATAATGTTTGGAGACAATTTTATGTACGAATAATAAGTTTCAGTTCTCTAATTCTTAAGGTCACAGAATGAAGTCGGTTTAGTTGAAAATCGAACTAATCTGATTCACAGAAAAATAAAAGTTCTATTATTCGAAATAAGGGCATTTTCCTGTTAGCCATCAAAAGTTACATCAACATAAACAGTTTCACGGCAAAATCTGCTTCCATAATTGTACAAAAGCTAATCAAGTTCCAATTTCGAACTCGATTTTCTCAAAAACTGTCTATTGAATGAGTTACTTAAAAGTACCAATGGATTCAGTTTTTATACCCCTACAAACCAACTGAGTCTAAATTTTAAAGAAAATGATTTTTAGCTGTTTTCTTCTATTTGTACCGATCGTATTAATTGTGTTTTTTAGTAACTACCAAACATTCATTATGATACTTTAATGATTCAAAAAATAAGAACCGAAAGCTATTCTGTCGCATTGGTTTGTTTCTTAGAGGAACAATGGCTCAGTTTTCGCGAAAAAAAGAAAAGAAATTTGTTTTCAGGTTAAGGTAAGTTTATTTTGAATAAATCAGGCATTTACCAAATTTATTTGGTAGTCTCAGGCGTTTGTTTACAGTGTTTGTGTTTACTGGCTTTATGTCTTAAAACACTGTCTTGGCAGGTGAATGAAAGTTGACACTTCATGCAAGTAACTAGACTCTTGGTGTGATACTGTTCAATGTGAGTGTAAGCATGTCTCGCGGCAGTCTTCTTGAGGAAATCTTTAGGACACAATGGACATCGAAACATTTTCTTCTTTACCCAACCTCTTTCATGCACCAGCTTTTCGCTAATGACAGTCGATAGTCGAGGATAAACTTCCTTTAGCGTTGACTTTGGCATGTTGTACAACTTTCCAAGTAACATTCCCTTCTTAATGGAAGCGATCACTTTGGGTGTTAAATCTTCAGGTAAAGGCGGTAAAAGGGTTTCATCCCAAGGCACAACATCATCCAAACCCTTGAAAATCTTAGCATCAGGTTCGAGTAGCTTAAGCATAGTTGGTCGTCGAGAAAAAACTATGTTGCAGCAGGCATTGTAATTGATCTTGCCCCTTTGAACACTCGAACGGATGAATTGATCATTTTCAACTCGCACCAATTTATCTCCATCTTTAGGTTCAGCCTTAAGATCTACTTTAGAATCTACTTTAGGTTCATCTTTGGGTTGATCTTTAGGCTGATCTTTGGGTTCTTCTTTGGGTTCTTCTTTAGGTTTCACCTCAACTTCTTTACCCTTTAAGATGCACACAAATCAAATGCTTAAGTATGACTGAAATTGAATTCATAAACAGTAAACACTTACCTTGTAAGTCGAGTCCACTTTGATGTCAATATGTACGATCGTGTTTGAAGGTAAGCTCTCACAATTTGATTCCATGATTCGTGATGACAGTTGAAACGAAACAACTTTGATCAACAGATCAATTGAAATGTAAAGATTCCTCTCTTGCGACAAACCCGTACAAATGTTTGTACTAAAAAGATTGGACTCTTGAACTGGACAAGCAAATAAAGTGCGGCGATCTTTTGAATCTTATCAATTATTCCAATTGTAATGAGATTTGAAAGTCAATTGACTCGATATCACAATTAGATTTAATAGCATCTTCAAACAAAGAAACCAAAATACTGGTCAACAGTTAAAAGTTACCGGCATTTGGCATTTGTAAAGCTTTGATAAGCTTACAAATTGGATTTATTTATAAACTTGAAATCATCAAAATGTTATCAAAAGATCACTCAAAAACAAATAAAAGGCCAACCCTGAACAGTCAAGTTTCATAACTAACAACAGTTTTGATGACAGGTTTATCGGGATCAAAATTCATTTCAAGTGATTTACATTCACCTAACTATTAATAATAAACCTGAGTGAATAATAGTGTAAGACTCAGTCAGCTTGTTATTAACGCTAAAAAGACACAATTGTCACATTTATGCACAAAATTGATCCAAACACCAGAAGAAAATGGACAAAAACAGATGAAAATTACTTTCTTCAAAATTATGACTCTGTTGATTTGTTGAGAATTGCAAACTGAGTCCGTTTGTGCGATTTAAAAGTTTCTGTTATACACAGTTTGTGAAGAAATCGAGTTCAATCGACTTTCATCTTCATTGTTAAGAGTAACTTGTCTTTGATGACAATTCAGAAGGAATCAGAGTTTTTAAAGTTGAACAGATTACATGAATTGCTGGAGATGAATGGGCTTTAAGGGAATCTCAACTCTTTCTGATGTTTCCTCACTGGACTTGAGTCGGGTTCAATTGATTGCATCTAATCATTTGAATCCACAATTGACTTTTCCCTTTTTCTGGGCATTTGATTTTACTAGCAATCAAGTCCCTGAAGTGATCTAAAACAATAACAACTGGTTTATACCAATCAAAATTCATAGTTGTCGGTAAAAAGAGATTTATATTCACCTAATTATTGTAAACCTTAATGAATAATAGTGTTAGACTCATTCAGGTTGTTATTAACACTAAAAAGACACAATTGTCACATTTATGCACAAAATTGACACAAACCGAAGAAGAAAATGGACAAAAACGGGTTTAAATTACTTTCTTCAAAATTTAGACTCTGTTGATTTGTTGAGAATTAAAAACTGAGTCCGTTTGTGCGATTGAAAGTTTCTCTGGCCAACAGTTTTCGAGGAAATCGCGTTCAAAGTTGAAACTTTGATCGCCTTTTGTGCACTTGTGTGAACAGATTTTTTCATGAAACTCATTTTGTTATTGTAAATTTTCATAGTCAACCAGAAAAGGTACTTATTTCGATAAATGAACTTTTCTATTTCTGTAAAACAGATCAAATTCGATTTTACTTTTAACCGACTTTTTTCTGTGTCCATAAGAACTAGCAAGCTGAAATTTATTAATAGTTAATAAAAATTGTTATTACACATCACGGAACTAATAATTTTTCCAACTTTCTAACCGTTCTCTTGATTTTGGCCATTGGCCTTAAAACTTTGATCCTTATTATTTCGAGAATGGAATAACCTAGAATTACCATTCTTTGGCTGAACACTAGATTTTATTATGGACTATAATATATTGAAATATTAAATCATTTAAGATCCTTTAAAAGAGCTATGGCATTGCATTACTTATGTCACCAGATTTAAACTTGATTTATAAAGTTAAAAGTTTCTCAAAAGCAAATCTTGTGCGTTAGAAGGATATTCGTTATTAGCTCAGATTTTGATCAAAAGGCAATTATATTGTATTTTAGCACATAATGAAACCTAATGTTTGACCAAAGAATGGTGATTGTAGGTAGTTCCATTCTCGAAATAATAAGGATCAAAGTTTTAAGGCCAATGGCCAAAATCAAGAGAACGGTTTGAAAGTTTGAAAAATTATTAGTTCCATGCTGTGTAATAACAATGCTTATTGACTAATAATAAGTTTCAGCTTGCTAGTTCTCATGGTCACAGAAGAAAGTCGGTTTAACTTTTAAACGATCAAGTTCAAATTTGATCTGTTTGACAGAATTAGAAAAGTTCATTTATCAAAATAAATACATTTTCTGATTCCTCATCAATGGTTACATCAGCGAAATGAGTTTCACGGAAAAATCTGCTTCCATAATTGTACAAAAAGCTATCAAAGTTTCAACTTCGAACTCGATTTTTGCAAAAACCGTCCATCGAAGGGGTTATTTAAAAGCACCTATGGATTCAGTTTTTAAGTCCCTAAAAATCTATCAAGTCTAAACTTCATTGCTTACATGTTTGAGCCTTTTGCAGTATTTTTTGTTTTGCATTTGCAAGTTTAACCAGAAAATTGGTTTATTTACCAAGAAATGGGTTTATATGAGTTTGTTTTGTTGAATAAGTTGTTACTCTTGCATTTAAAACCCAAAATAACAAAACCCAAATAAGCCAATGGACATTTGTTTCAATGCATTGAATTTTCAATCAGTAAAGGTTTAAGTTGGTGAAAGAATGCTGACTTAAGATGCTACCATTCTCGAAATATCGAGGTTCGAAGTTTGTAAACTAATGGCCGAAATCAAGATAACTATTGCTGAATCCGAAAAATCATTCAACCCATAATGTTTGCAGACAATTTTTATTTACTAATAATAAGTTTTAGTTCTCTAAATCTTAAGGTCATAGAATAAAGTCGGTTTAGTTGAAAATCGAACTAATCTGATTTACAGAAAAAGAAATGTTCTTTTTTACAAAATAAGTGCATTTTCTTGTTAGTCATCAGAAGTTAAATCAGTAAAATCAGTTTCATCGAAAAATCTGCCTCCATAACTGTATAAAAAGCTAGCAAAGGTTCAACTGCGAACTCGATTTTCTCAAAAACTGTCAATCATTGGAACTTTCAAATTGCACAAATGGACGCAGTTTTTATGTCCCTACAAACCTACATTAGTCTAGATTTGAAAGAAAGTAATTTTTATCCGTTTTCCCCTATTTGTCTTGATTGTATTAATTGTGTTTTTTAGTAACAATCATACAATCAATATGATACTTCAAATGATTCAATAAGAAGCGAAAGCTTTTCTGTCGCATTGGTTTGTTTCTTGGAGGAACAATGATTCAGTTTTTGCGAAAAAAATGAAAAAAAATTGCTTTTAAGGTCAAGGAAAGTTTATTTTAAATAAATCAGTAAATTATTTGGTATACTCAGTGGTTTGTTTACAGTGTTTGTGTTTACTAGCTTTATGTCTTAAAACGCTGTCTTGACAGGTGAATGAAAGTTGACACTTCGTGCAAGTAACTAGACTCTTGGTGTGATACTGTTCAATGTGAGTGTAAGCATCTCTCGCGGCAGTCGTCTTGTGGAAATCTTTGGGACACAATGGACATCGAAACATTTTCTTCTTTACCCAACCTCTTTCATGCACCAGCCGTTCACTCTTGACAGTCGATAGTCGAGGATAAACTACCTTTAGCGTTGACTTCGGTATGTTGTACAACTTTCCAAGTGACATTCCCTTCTTAATGGAAGCAATCACTTTAGGTGTTAGATCTTCAGGTAAAGGCGGTAAAAGGGTTTCATCCCAAGGCACAACATCATTCAAACCCTTGAAAATCTTAGCATCAGGTTCGAGCAGCTTAACCATGATTGGTCGTCGAGCAAGAACTGTGTTCAAGCAGGCAGTGTAATTGATCTCGCCACTTTGAACACTCGAACGAATGAATTGACCATTTTCAAGTCGCACCAATTTATCTCCATCTTTAGGTTCAGCCTTAGGATTTACTTTAGACTCTACTTTAGGTTCATCTTTAGGTTCACCTTTAGGTTGATCTTTGGGTTGATCTTTGACTTCTTCTTTGGGTTCTTCTTTAGGTTTCACCTCAACTTCTTTACCCTTTAAGATGCACACAAGTCAAATGCTTAATTATGACTGAAATTAAATTCATAAACAGTAAACACTTACCTTGTAAGTCGAGTCCACTTTGATGTCAATATGTACGATCGTGTTTAAAGGTAAACTCTCACAATTTGGTTCCATAATTTGTGATGACAGTTGAAACGAAACAACTTTGATCAATATATCAATTGAAATGTAAAGATTCCTCTCTTGCGACAAATCCGTCCAAATGTTTGTACTAAAAAGATTGGACTCTTGAACTGGACAAGCAAATAAAGTGCGGCGATCTTTTGAATCTTATCAATTATTCCAATTGTAATGAGATTTGAAAGTCAATTGACTCGATATCACAATTAGATTTAATAGCATCTTCAAACAAATAAACCAAAATACTGGTCAACAGTTAAAAGTTACCGGCATTTGGCATTTGTAAAGATTTGATAAGCTTACAAATTGGATTTATTTATAAACTTGAAATCATCAAAATGTTATCAAAAGATCACTCAAAAACAAATAAAAGGCCAACCCTGAACAGTCAAGTTTCATAATTAACAACTGTTTTGATGACAAATGATCAAAATGAGCTGTTGATCTAAATTGTAGTTATCATCAAAATAAACAGACATTTTGCTTGTCGTAGCAAACCGTTAACATACTAAATAAAATTCAGTTTTGGCATTCTCTCCATGCGATAACATGAGTTCAAGAATAAGAATCAGTAAATATCTACTGCAAATTCGCAAGCAGACTGAAGATGTCCCAGTCTGGCCAAGTATCAATTAATCTTTCAAAATATTACATCAATTTTAAAATTCAAAATTTCCATTAAACTTGAAATTAAATCAACCTTTAAACTCGTGGCTTTCGTCGCCCTTATCGTCCTTTTGAATTTGAAATTTCTGATCCACTTATCAATTTCAATCTCTGAAGACTTTTCCAATTCCTTAAATAAATATAAAACTGGTCAAGACTAGGGTTAACTCAGTAAGACCGGACATTTCAAGGGGATTTGAAATTAAATAAAATTTGATTTAATGGAACTAGCCATTTTTAACGAGAATTCAAAAAAAGCTAAAAGGTGATTTATCATTGAGAATTTTTATGAAATTAAAATTAAATTTTCACATTTCAGATGGCGTATTACACACAACAAATTGTGGCATTTCAACTAAGAGTTAAAAACTGAAATTTCATGTTCTAATCCTCTTGGGATATGGGGCCAAGGCTCTGGAATATTTTTCGCCGATTTTCTGAAAATAAATTTCAATTTTATTTTAAATTAAACCGAAATTAAATTTGTCGTCAGACAATTTTAATCGTAATTCATCTTACAATTTAAATTGTGCGAAAACAACCGAACGCACTGTAACTTAAAGAGAGATGTCGAGAAGAAGAAATAGAATCTTCTAATTCCGAAAAAAGAAGACGGAATAATTTTAAAAATCGAAAAAAGTAGAGTTTTTTATAAAGGCCACTATTAGGTCACTTTGCAATTGAATCTCTAATTTTATCCTCGTCGAATCCATACCATGAAGTCTTTTGCAAATGTCAAACAGATCTTTTGAGAAATGAATAAATCAATAAATCATTATCAAAATTCACTTCGATCTAAATTACATCTACAATAACCATCAGAAAAAATCGAGAAAAAAATGAAATTTTCAAGATTGTGACATTCTTGTTACTTGAACGTCATCTTGACGACAATTATCACCCGTGAAAATATTTAAAATCAATTTTAAATTTAAGTCTTTTTTATTCTTACATTTTTCGTCACGAACAGAGTTTATCATTTACTGAATATTTGACGATCTTGATTTAAAAGCAGTCATGAAAATAGCTTTAGTAGTGGATAGAAATCTCTTCAAATCTTAAATTTTGTTCTTCCATTATATGCGGTGAAATAACTGAAACCTATGGTGAGAAAGATAATGATAAAATGAATTTTATAAACGATCAGATGAAATTTAATTAAGACTATTAACTTTTAAATCGGGCAACAACTGGAGCAGTTAAGATCTATTGATAGGTTCTTCTGGGCTGTAATATAATCGATCAAACTACTGGTAAAATTACAAAAAAACATTCGATTTTTAAATTTTTAAATAATAAGAAAATGCTTTTAAATTTAAAAATATTGCCAGTGAACAATCACTTGAGTGTTTTAATTTTACAAATTTCAGTAGTTGCTTGATATTCAAATTTAAATTTACCATCTTTGCCCCAAAAACGCGTTAATCCTCTCATTTAAAAAGCGATGTAAAAAGGGGACAATTGCAGGAGTCAAATTCATAAAGCGTAAAACGGGATCAATAGATGTCAAAATATGCTAAATAAAATGAGATGAAACTAAAATTAGGTGCAAAGGTTAGAAAATCACTGAATAATGATGCTATTTTTGAAATTTAGTGAAAATGTTTTCAAGATTTCGTCGTATCCAAACAGCTGGAATCAATTGAAATAAATGTGCAATGAAGGTCAACTCGCAATTTTACTAAACATTAAAAAACGATAAAATAAAGATCTTCATTCACGGGATTGTCAGACGAGACAATCGCTTTTAAATTTGGCAAATGAGGACAAGCCTAAGTTTCAACTAATTTTCATTTTTAAAGTTTCCTCGTCTGAGTCTTCAGAATTTAAAAAATTTAATATTAAACCCAGAGGTAGAAATTTAATTTTTAATTTTCTTTGGCCTTAAATATGCAACACTTCATAAATCAAATTTAACACACAGTATCGTAAAAAACTATTAGCTGAGATAGGTGGTTGGGGCATAACATTTCGGGAGGCTTTGGAAGAAATCAGAGCAACGACTTTACCTGCTGAGATGATCCTTACTCATGAAGCTCAGGTACCTTACCAACAAGCAACTGGAAGCTTCGAAAGATAAATCAGAACTAATAAATTCAGCAGACAACAATTGTACAAACTGCAAGTGATATCAAAGCGTATTTAAAATTATTTGAATGTAATGCTCTAAGAAATCTGATCAGTAACTAAATTTTATTCCCATTGAGTTCAGATTAATTGACTTGATTTATAATGTGTCCATATCCAGACCACTAATTCTGGTAAATATCGGCGATCCTTAAATTCATTCCATTCACACGAGATGCCACAAAAGTATAAATCATCAAGCTCTTTGAAATTTGAATTTTGATGAAAGATGCAATTTATTGAGAAAGGATCAAAAGCGTGGACTCAATTTTATTCAGATCGACTCAGAATTGCTCAAATCACTTTTGTAATCACTGATGAGTTGAAAAAGAAATTTTAATTTTAAAATTATCATTTCAATTGGCTACCAACTGTATTTAAATCGTGACCATTGTTCACTGATTTTTATTAAAATTATTTTCTTCCTCACTCTGCAGATAAGTTTGACAGAGCAATTGCATATTTTATTTTTCCTTATTTTTCAATGCCCAAATCCTGAACACTATTTTACTCGACCTTCCTTTCGTTGTTCCCGAATCTCTTTTATAGATGTGTCCATCCACTGCAAATTTATGAATTTGATACGAGTTTTTAATATAAAAACCAGAAAATTCAGCTCCCCTTTTACGGAAAAGGGGTCTACTTTTAAAATTTGACATAATTTTGAAGTTTGAGCTGTCTAGCTCATTTTCATTTTCCCATTTAATGATTTCAAGAACCAGAATCTGGTGAAGTTTACTGATTGACTTTCCCTTTAAACAGCACTTTTTAAAATTTAAATTCCCCTCGACTGATTAGCTAAAAGTTTAAACATTTCACAAAACATTTCGTTAAAAACAATTTTAAGGATTTAATTATCAGACTTAAGACTAGCCATAAATCCTAGACTCTTAATTTTATAATAAAACCCAAATATGCCCAGATTTAAATCTGCAATTTGCAGTTTTTCAGCACATAGGGAAATGAATGTATACAAAAATGAAATAATTTCATCAATATTGAATATTATTTGTGTCTAAAGATGGTTTATGGACTTTTAAAATTTTTTTGGTTCCTTGCTGAGCGAAAGGCTCAAGTTTTTTTAGTTTTTATTGATATTAGCTTTGATCAAATTTAAAAAGAGTAATCAACTTGAATACATCATTTGTACTGTTTAGGTTCTCACAGTAATTGTTTAAAGAGATATAAACGAAAATTGAATTATATGAATTATTTTCATCAGCAATATTATCATCACTCTGGCCATTTTCACCCTCTTGATCATTTTCATTAGATGAATTTGTATTTTTAACAATCGAAACGCGTTTTTCAATCTTTTCACCAGTTGACATCAAAGCTTCTAATTTCTGCGGCAATTCTCGCTCCAGTTTTTCTATTTCGCCTTTGACTCTTAATTTTATAATAAAACCCAAATATGCCCAGATTTAAATCTGCAATTTTCAGTTTTTCAGCACACAGGGAAATGAATGTATACAAAAAAGAAATAATTTCATCAATATTGAATTTTATTTGTGTCTAAAGATGGTTAAGGGACTTTTAAGATTTCGGTGGGTCCGTACAATGTACAACATTTTTTGGTTCCTTGCTGAGCGAAAGGCTCAAGTTTTTTTAGTTTTTATTGATATTAGCTTTGATCAAATTTAAAAAGAGTAATCAACTTGAATACATCTTTTGTACTGTTTAGGTTCTCACAGTAATTGTTTAAAGAGACATAAACGAAAAATTTAAAATTCAATATACTTTGAATGGAGATAATTTTTTATAATAATATCACTAGATTATTGTTCAATATTTTTTTCTGATCCATTATATTTTTCATAGCAATTTTTTCCAGATTCAATGACAAGCAAAATTACATTTATATTCACCTTCGGCAAGCAACTGGAACCAGCCTTTTATATTACTGTTTTGATCTCAAGACTGTCCAGTTCTAAAGACACTTTTTTTGGATCCAATCGGGAAAACAGTGTCATTTTTTAAAAATTAACTTTTAATTCTCTTTCATTGGGCTGTTGTTTGAGATTACAATTAATTGAATGACATAAGTTGGGTTAAAATCACAATTTGAAGAGATTTTTTGGCGCTTTTTTGCAGCCATCTTCTGGTGCTTTTTATTACCAATGTATCAGATTTTTCTTTTGCCTTGTTTACTCATATTTTTCCTTAATTGTCATTGTATCTATTTTGTGATTTAATTAACTTTATAACCTTTGGTTTTATTTTGACCAAGCTAAATATGAGTTCCAATGCATTCCGTGATTTACTTTTTTACAGTATAGCTTTAATAACTTTACCTATAATATCTTTTTTCATCGCTCATCAAGTGCTTCCATTGATTTATGCTACTTGCATTTCTGTAATCATGATTCACATTGTTTTGTTTGCGTTCATCAGGGAGGCGTACAAGGATGAGTTCAATACAGCGGCGAAGGATAAGCCGGCCAAAAAGGATTAATCGTGTCTCTTTTCTCTGGCAACACCTTGACTTTGGTTGAGAGGTGGTAAAAATTGTGATCGACCATTATACGAAAATCATGTTCAATTTTTTTTATTTCCAGATCAATGTTTATTTATATCAATAATTACAATGATGTCTTGATTGATAAGCGATAAATTATTGCTGATTTTGTAGTCATCTATAAAAACTATAAAATAATTTAAAAAATAAATTGTTAAACTTTGTGAAAATTGATGAAATCCGTCGTGGATTTCATCAGCTGATATCGACTGTTGAGTGAAATTAGATTTACATCAGATTATCAGAGCTAGGTCGACTCATGATTACTGTTTTATTGTTGAAATGATTGTTATTGAGATCTCTGTTCAATTTTTCTAGGAGGCGAATGTAAATGAAAATTTCCAATCTTGGTTGTAAACTATTTTAATTTGCACATTTATTTTGCAAGGGAAGCCATTTTTTGAGATAAGATTAAAAGATCAGGATCATTGTAACATTTTGACATTTTGTTGACGAAGTTGATTCCTTTAGTGAGAGATTTATTATCCAAGAAGTTTTCTTTCAATCCCAATTGCCAAAAGTTGAAAGCCAATTTTCCAACCTTTTTAGTGTCCCCATTCATTATCAGACGATAGAAACAATCAAATGAAATGTTAGATTGTCGTTTGTACAATTGTCTCTTACCAAGATCTTTGACATAAGCAAAAATCTCTTCAATTACTTGATCACCCAATTTGCTTATATGATTCAGGAAGGATGAATGATGGCCATAGAGAGCATCATTAGAATCAATTTTGTCAACATGGTAAAGATAATTTTCTTGGGCCACCGAGAATAAGTAATCTAACATGTTTAGATAAATTGCTGGTTTTGAATCAAAACTTTGATTGAATTCCATACTCTTGATGACTTCAAATAATTTACAAAATAAAAACAAAGGGTCCTTTTCTGGGTGATCCTGAAATAAGTAAAAAAGGTCGTTAGTCACAAAATTGCAACACCAATGATGATAAAATACATACCGGCACTATAACCAGAAAAGAAAGTAAATTTGCAACATAAGATACAATAAACGGTTCCATCAAACGTACTTGACCATCAGATAATTCAATTTTCACATTGGCAGAAGGAATAAGATCGATAGCAGCTTCAAGGAATGCGTCAGTTTGCGGCAAACAACCGTTGACTAAACCAATTTGAGCACTATTTAGATAAAGCTGTAGACGGATGATAGGATCTTCGAGAGATGGTATTGTTATAAATGAATATGCTAAACATGCTCTGACAAAAGCCGTTGTCTTTTTTGTATGTTGGCCTTTCACGATATTCCTGGTTTCCATAATGATACGATTAACACAGGTAACAAGGAAAGCTACCACAGATTCTAGATGCGAATAGTTGGATCGAGCTTCAACCATAAAACTAAGGTAGCCTTGGAAATCTCTATGAAAAGAAACCAAACTGAGAAAATCGATGATTAAATTTGAAATGTCTCTTCGATCATCTTCCAGGGTTAATGCGTTCACTGAATCATGCATGGTTTTACAGAGATAGGTTAACGAGTTGAGAATAACTGGGTCAGAAATTTTAAATAGTTCTTCTTCATCATCAGATGCAGAATTCAAGATTGTTGAATTTGCACTTTTAATTTTTTCAATGTAACAACTTGTAATTAATTGGCAAGCTTGTACTTTGACAGATTCTTTTTGCAACATATCCAAAAATGGTATAAAACTATCCATAGCAAAAAACGAGGTATAATCCTCCAAAGATGAAAATTGGGTGACTTTTTTCACTATTGAAATTAGTTTATCGTAATGATCTTCATAAGCTCGATCAGGTTGCATATGTTTGACAATATCTTTGAGCAAAACATTCACTTCAAAAACACCAAGATATTGAACCACAAAGTCCATCCAAATGTCGGCACAAATTATGTGTTGAGATGCTTTTAATTTGGATACTTTCTTCCATATTTCATTCATAAGTAACAGCTTATGTGCTTTCTCTATGTTAATCCAGGCCGTTCTTCCTTCGACAAATGAAGAGCCAAGATTTTTAAGTAATAAATATCCAGGAAATCCTTTATCTTCATTGGTAGTCAGACATTCTTTGATCAGGTCAACAAATCTCTTAGCTCGTTCGATAATAAAACGAGGCTGGAATGTAGTAATCATTGAGTTCAATAATAGCGCATTTATCGGTAGATTACCTTTGCTTTGCAAATTTTCCTGAAATTCGTCTAAAATCTCTTCCAGTAGACTATCTGAGGCTTTGAACGCGATACATTGAAGAATCCAATTCAAGGCAGGTGTGAAAAGAGTTAAATAAGTTGCAAAATTTATTTTTTGAGCTTTTAGAGTGACTATGACAAATTCGGAGGTTAGTTGATTGGAAATCATCAGGAACTCGGTTAAATTTTGACGGAAAACTGTCTTTTCCATTGGTGCAATTCTCATAATAATACGGCAAAGGTAAGCTCTTGAATAAAGTGAAACTAGGGGATCTCCGATTCCTCGAGCCATGGCAGTTAGCCGGAACAGAGCTTTACAATTCTCAGAGTAGACAAGTTTGGGATCGACGATAAAACTGAGAGTTTTTAAAATAGCAGTTTCCACATAAAACCTAGGCACCAATTCTCGAATTGAAGCAATTTTGTAGAACCAATTACGGCAAGTTTCTATTGCAGATTCCAGAGCTAACGGTGTTTCAGCTTTACAATGAATTCTTTTGTAAACAAGATTTCCAAAACTATCCAACATATCGGTTATGAGCACGAATTTACTTGGATAAAATGGTAAGACACTTACATCAACTAAAAGTTTTGCACATTGAATGGCAATTTTTAAAGCTTTGACTCTTTGATCAGTTTCCCAAGAAGATTGCAATGCAACACTTAAATCTTCAATCCTATGGACATAATCAGCTTGACTTAGATTAAACATTTCTTTGACAGAGCCATCTTCAAAATCATCTAATTGCTGTAACCGATGTTTAACTTTTTCGGCAAGAGAAGTACTTTGAAGATTCCTCAAACTGGCAACAACAACTCCTGAAGCATCACCTCCACTCAGAAAGGATGTTTTGATTGACAATTTTTCAGAGGTAGTATACTCCTTTAGTATAGCTCCTTTGAAAGTAGACCAGTTTTCGAAGCTGTCATCAACAAAATCATCATCAGACGATACATCACTTCTTTTAACTGCCCCATCAGTGGCTAGTGGATTTAATACTGGAACAGAGTCATGTTTTGATCCGTCAATATCTTGCAGAGCAGCTGATAGTGGATCAACACCACCCCAAGATGTACTGGCTTTAACTTTTTTAGCTTCTTTTTTGGAGTTTTCAGTTGATCCATTGGCACTTGATTTGGATCCTGATCGATGTTTAACAGTAACAGTTAATGGCTTTAAAGGGTGATCCGTCACTTCATGTGGGAGTAAATTTTTTTTCCGATATCCATCAGTTGTTACTTGCCTAGGTTGCCAATTTATCATTATACCAGCAAAGATGACAACTAGACAGAGGTAAGGAAGCAACAGTGAATAATAACGTTAATTAAACAGTTCAACAAGTACGACAAGATTATAAAACTTACCATGTAATTTATAAACTCAGTTTACAAATGATAATAACCAAAACAAGTCAATTGACTGGCCAACAACTGACAGACTTAATTGTATTCCATTCATTCAGATGGCGTTTAATGTGCTACTTTCTCAGAGCCATCTATTGCTTTGTATAAGACAAAAACAATTTAAACGATACAAATTAAACTAATCAAACAAAACCAATGAATTAATGAGTGGTGAATATTTTTCCCATTATAATCATAATCTGATGCAGAATCCACATAAAATTGTTCACATTGAATGATTACAATTAGCTGGTCAAAGTACATTTCATGTTAATTGTGATTGACTGTTGAAAATGATAATTATCACAAATTACTTGTAATATTACAAGATAATTTGTTTCTTACTGATTCTATCGTTAATTTAAATTCAACAGAAAAAGAAATAAAAATTAAAATCAATTAGAAATTAAAAAAACTCTAACCATATCTAGCCTTGGTTATTGATTTACCAAATAAAGGCAAAATTAATGTTAATTTCTGGTTGTAAGTTGATTACTGGATCAAATTTACTCAAATTACTCCATTTGCTAAATATTATTACTTGGAAGCTTAAATTACTAATCATTGATTGTCAATAAAAGACTGGGAAACAATAGAAACATTTGATTGTTAATATAAATGGTAAATTGAAAATAATTTAGCAACCATAATGAGAACGAAAATGAAGCAAACATTTGAAGAGCTTCATTGATGATTGATTAGTTTAGCAATTAAAATTGTTTCCCTTTGAAAAAGCTTAATAAGTGTAAGCTAATTTGTATCTTTACAGAGTCTTAAGATAATTGGTGAAACTGTGATTAGCTTTCAACTGACTTTGGTTAATATCAACAGGCCATTGATCTTAGTATTTGACTGTTTGGGTAAATTGTTGATGAAAATGAAATTTAATTTCACTTGTAAGTTGCATACAATTTATTATCAACAGTTATAATAACCATAATACAATTTATCATTGATCTCATCTAGTCAAGATGGTAAACATTGATTTGATAATAGCAACAGCCTAATAGTGGCTTGTTATTTTATTACTATTAGCATTATTGTAGCTGCTAATTAAAATTATGAGGAATTAATTGTTAACGTTTTTGTTGTATTGTTTGATTTAAACACATTTGTTTCATTCAACTTTATCATTAACTTAATGATGATGAAGATTTTTGCTGATGACTAGAAAACAATCTTTTTCCAATTGACTATTAATTGTAAATACATGCAAGTTTTGTACATCATTGATTGATTAAATCAATCATAACAGTCTTTGAACAATAAACCAGATTGTACAACTAGAAGAAGATGCTAAATTGTCCTTAAAAAATATAATCTTTCACGATTAATCTGGTTGATTAGAGTTGATCAGTTTGGTCTGGAATGAGAATGTTGAAGCCAACAGGAAAAAGCAGTGGCAATCTGATGGATTGTTGATGAATAATTAATCATTAAACAGTTAATTGATCATTTGATATTCAATTTAAATCAGCTATCCATGAGAAAGAAATTACTTTTGGAAAAACAATTGGTTTCCATTGAAACTGGATTCTTTTGAAATGGTTAACAAAAGGTCAAACTGGATCTCGTTGTAAATTACTAACCATAGTAACCAATTCTTCCAAATTTTTGGCCGATCTTTCATACTTGTAGCTAACCAATTTTCTGTAAAAGTGAATAGCAAAGCCAATGAAGATGATGAAAACCGGAATTAGTAAAAGAGTTGCGGCAGTTGCAGCCTTTTTTCCGGTTCCTCCTTGACTAACCCCAATGTCCCAAAATTTGACCCAACAAAGAAAGGCAATCTCTATAAGGAACAAGAAGACACCAAGAACAGTGGAGAAAAGCCAAGCAATTTCAATATAATGGGACAAGGCATCATGAGGTGAATCAATTAGAGTCCTTGATTGAATGGCTGGTGTATATGTTGTTTGATCACCTAATTCACAATCAGATTCAATGTTGGGTAAAATGCATGTTGATATCATTAAAGCTAACATATGAACACTAACGAGTAGCGTGGTACAGAGGACAAAAGATATTAATAATGGCGCAGGAACTGGATTAGGAGAATCACAATTTAGAGAAACTTCAACCATGGCCACCATGGCAAATCCAGAGAGAAGGGCTGAAGTTCGCGATGAAGCTTTCAACTTGGCTCGGGAAAGATGTAAACGTCTCCATGAAAGTGAACTATTAGTTTCATCTTTGATTACCATTTTCAGACAGGCAATCAAACAATAGTCAGGCAGCACAAATTTTGATAGGTTTGGTAATAGATGGGTTAACAAAAAAAGTCACTTGACAACAAACGATGATGATTACCTGGGTCAATATCTGGTTAAAACACTTTACAATTTTTACTTTGGTTTTATAGATTTAGGTTTAAGAGTTGAAAATTATGGGTTTAGACTTTTAGTTATTTACTTTTGGGTTATTAGTGTTGAAAGTATTGGGTAAAGCTGTTGGTTTCAAAAAGTGTCAGTCGTTTGAAATCAATGTAGAATTTAGAAAAGACAAAGAAGATGTATCACAGTTCAAAAAAAGGTCTTCACTTGAATCACTTATTAGCCTGAAAGTCTAGGCTTATTTTTTAGTGAAAGCAAAGGTAACCAGATTTTCTGGTTTATATTTTAAACTCAATTGTTTTCTCTTCTGTTTCTAACCGCTATTTACAAGGAAATCATTGGTATTTTTGTTACACACATGCAATTCTTTGGGTTCTTTGTTTTATTTTTTTCACTGTCAGCTTTCAACGGAAACATGGAAAGACTGAAATGGTTTCAATTAAGGGTAACTATTAATATTAAACGACTAGATTATAAAATGTTTATTAGTGCTTCTAGTTTAGTACTTTTTGTTTTGCGGATTTACAGTTTTAACCAGTAGTCGTTAAGATGGTAAATAATAAGATAATCTCAATAATAATACTTCCTTAATACATAATATGTAATGATAATCATAAAATTTGGTTGAAATTTATGACGGAAACGAGATGAATCTCTATCAACACTGTTTATTTTGATTATTGTTGGGGGTAAACGACAAAAATTGGTGATTTTAGCTTATCCATTGATCTTCATAGAGAGATTTGCTTTATTTGTTCCCTTCTCATTTTCACTTGATTTTTATTGGAAATAAAGTTAATTAATAAAGCAAAGCCAGCAATTCAAGGCTAGGCCTTAAGCTTTCGGATGATTAAAGTTACCATTATCGTTGTGCAAGCAAATTGTTACAATTTAAATGATAACAATCAAAAACAGCTAAACAGGTTTATTGAAAGTGATGGTCAAATATTTTTGCGTATTGTTGTAATAGGAAATGTTGGTGAATTTTGGTGAAACTAATGATTATTGATTGTGTTTAATTGAAATGATTATCAGGCAAGCTTACTGGCGTCTGATTAAAAAAGACAATCAATAATTAGATGATCAATGAAAGAGTGAAATGTTAAATTGAATTAAATCAAGTGAAAGTAAAGAGAAGAGAAAAATGATTACAGCAACATGAAATTAACAAAGACATGACATTAGCAATTGAAACTGATTAGAAGAAGAGAAAAGGCGAGGAAGAAAGGAAAATAGAAAGAAGTAAACAATTATAGAATTAATAGCAATAAATGGATGAAAAACATCAGCGGCCATATTGTGAGTTAATCTTTTTCCGTTAAATAATTAACATGCACATTAACAAGATGGAGATCACTATTTTCAGGAGGACAACTCTCAAGGCAAGAGAGAGAGGGAAAAGAAAGAAGGGAAGAAGATGATGATCATCATTATCATTGATCAAGTAGTTTAAACAGCGTAATAACCAATTGATGTAAGGTTGTCCATAATAACAGAAACAAAAAGCAAAATTGTGATTGTATTTACAATAAAATGATACTGATACAAAGAGTCGAATAGATTTTCAATTTCAGGTTTTCCAATTAATGATGTCATTTGATAAAAAACTAATTGACCTCAATTTCAATGAATAAGCAATCAAATTAATAAACCAAAAAACAACTTTCATTTTTATTTGAATAAAAACTGCGCTTATTAGACTTACAGCAAACTCTAACCATTTTTCTATTCTACAAATCCATATAATAGATGGCGTTGAATTCGCCCATGCCATTTGGGTTTGATTTTTCCTCTCACTCTTTGCCTCTCACTATTATTTTCAGTTTTTTTTAACCAACAACAATTAACCTTATATTTCTGTGATTAGTTAATTAATTGTCTCCAGCAACCGTCACCAGGCGTGTTTAAATACCAAGGTAAGATTTCTATGAACTCGATTAACCTTGAAGCTGTTTTCCGTTTCAACTTTCAAATTTTGTGTTAATTTTCATATTATTTGGTTAATAATACTGTAATACTGATCAATTCAATTATTCCTCTTTGGTCTCTTTCTTTTCATCTCTGTCCCCACATTTTTCCCTCTCTTTGTTCACTTTCGGCTGGACTCTCTTTTTGCTCGCTCTCTCTCTCCTTGTCTCTCTTCTCTTCCCTCTCTTTTGATATTTTTCCTTTGTTTGTTTCTTTCTTCTCTCTCTCTCTCTTACCTTCACCATTAGATGTAAAGAAATTAGTGAGCACCACAATTTAGTCAGATTTACCAGCATGCTTCAAAACTGATTGTCCACCATCTATAATTTTCTTTGTTAATTAATTTAACTGTGTTAACACATTTTTCTTACTGTTTTTCCTGTGCTTGTTTCCCGGCCTTTCATTCCATGCCCTTTGTTACCAGTCTTCAATCCTATTCTTTTTTGTAACAACTCGAAATCGATTATATTTTTCATCATAAATTGTGATTTTTCATTGTCATCTTTTTTGGTGTGGTTTTACTTCCATTTTCATTATTCAGGAATAAATTTATTACGTCACTGTTCTTGTGAATTGTTTTCTTCTTAATAATAATCTGGGGACAATTATCTGTTGATAATCATGACTAAAAGAGATTCTACTATTGATCATTCATTGAATGATAGTCAACCAAGTAAACCATCAATTGAAAGAGGCGCGAGCTGGTCTCTCAATGAAACTCGTATTCTGTTATCATTATGGGGCCAAGACATGGTTCAAAGACAGTTCACCAATTCAAAAAGGACCCGCCAAGTGTGGGAAAAAATCGCTGAAAGAATCAGAGAACATGGTTATGAAAGGACTCCAGGTAAGTTTATTTATTTTCATTGTATTTTCTTTAAGCTTTCCGTTTATTCATATTCGAAAATAATAATTCTTTTTCTTTAATTTCAGACCAAGTTAGGATCAAAGTATTCAATATGATTGCTGAATATCGGCGTATTCTTAAAAATCCAACCCCAGAACGTAAAAAGAAATGTGTTTTTTTCGATGCTCTTGATAAAATTTACCAAGCCAAAGACACAGAAGATGTTAAAGCAGCATTGAATAATTATGAAGAAGAATATCACTTTGACGCAGCTGATTCTAATATGGCTGATGAAACTAATGATAGCGGAATGGGAGCCAATGGTGATGGTGAAAATAGTGGAACGGATAATGAAGAAGTTTTCTCTTATGCAATGTCTCCTTCTCAAACTTTGAATGGGCAAGCAGAAGGTGATCAATGTTAGTATCCTTTTCTTTTACCATCATTGTTATTTCAACATTTTAATCCTTGCAAATTTAGACAAACTATTTTATTAGTTTTTCATTTTTGCTTGTGTTTTGTTTCCTAATTCTAATCAAATATTCGTCATGCTCCCTCCTTTAATCGATGATATTCCTTCTCTTGAATTTGACTTATTTGTTGATGGTAATCTTGTCACAATTAATGATTGGTTTAATATTTACTTTTCTTTTTATTTATTTTTTAAATATAGATTTGGGACGCAATGCAGCCATAAGATCTCGATCAACCTCTAATGCAACTTATAACAATTACCAAGCTCAAGATTATAACTCAGACTTTGATTCATCGCAATCAGTTGTTCTCATTGATCGCATGTTCAATCATTTAACCAAAGAGATGGATATTATGAAGGATTGGATTAAACTGGAGAAAGAACGTTTCCAACAAGAAGCTGCTCGTCGTAAAGAAGATAATGAACGACAGGAGCGTCGGGAAAAAGCTTTCCTCACTGCGTTGGTTAAAATGCAAGAACAGACTTTCAGTTTCTTATCCGGCTCATCTCCAGGAACACCGGACTCAAGAGCCAACTTTGAACCCAGTCCAATGGAAACTCAATGCCCATCATCACAATCTACATATGAACTTTCCTGATTCATCTTAAATAATGACTGACAATGTTTCTTTGTCTAAAAAATCTAAACCAACTATCTTCAAAGTAGTGGTTTAACTTTTTTTTAAATCCATCAGGAAAGTTTAATCTCATCATTACAAACAAACTGAATGAAAGGCAAAGAATAATCGGTCAAAAGCAAGTTAGAAATCTCATCCTGACAAATCTATTTGAGGATGATGGGTCACATATTTGGTCACATTGGCTTTTGCCATCCCTCACCATTTTTTCCCTCAAACTTTGTCTCTCTATTTCACGAAAAATCATTTTTTTGTCGACTAACTTTTATTTATACACAATGCATGTTTCCCCTCTTTTATTATCAACTCTTCCATCTACATGTATCAACTAACCGATTAGTAATTTTCTTTCACATTTTCAACCTACAACCTTCAGAGATCTGATTTGCCCTGAACATGCACATAATGCAGAAAATTTACTTTTTTTCGTTAGAAAACGCAAGACGTATTCATCTACTAAGCTGATTATGCTAATTAGATCATCAAAAGCATGATAGGTACACTCATTATAAATTAAAATGAAACAAAAAGTTACAAAAAATAGTTCATTTTTTTCATAGACATTCACATGAATTATACTCGTATAAAAAAATGTAAGACTCATTTCAAGCAAAGTGATATTAAAAATGGCTTTAAATTAAAATCCGCATCATTCTTATAATCCATTGGATACAATTTCTTTCTTTAAATCTGAATTATTGTCAAAAATAATAATAGCTATCATGGTGTATTAAAGGTTTTCCGGTGACACTTCATACACTTTTCGGATCATTGATAAATACATAAGCCATCTCATCAAATTCATAGAAATTTTTGGATAAAGTGTCACTAATTTTGACTTTTGGAATTGCCTGAAGCCCAGTATCAATCGGATAAGCTGTTAAAGTAAAATCATAACATTGATGTGGCGATATTCTGTCCAATACTTTTCCAGAAACTCCTAACCAAAGAATCGCTTGTTTCTCATCCTTGTTATCGAAAATTAAAGCCGGTTCAATATCAAAATCACTATGAATGAAAAGTAGAAGGTATTAATTAGATATTAAAACATTAATCTTAACGAATTAAGGTTAAAATTCAACTTTACCAGTAATTTGTAATTCGAAAGGTTATGTTGAATTTGTGTCTTAATTCGGCTTGACTAGGTATTCCTTCAATCGTTAAGCGAATGTCAACGTAATTCGGTGCCTGGTGGAAAATTGAATTAGAATGAATGAGTTAATGCAAACCAGATTATTAATCATATCATATAGCTATGAAATTATTAAACAAACCATTCGTTCAAGCGGTGATGTTTGAAGATGACCAGGAACAGCAATACCTGAAATCCAAACAATATCTAATCGACCTATTACTGTCACTGATCTTAATAGTTTTAAATTAGCTTTAACTTCAGGTTTCGGAGTTAAACAGAATAAATATTGACGACTTTCCATCGGATTAAATCTATTAATTTTACCAAAAACCCACTGTTCTTCACCATCAATTGTTACTTTGTTCAGCCCTTTGACATTAAAATATTGTGATGGTTCGAGAGTAACCCGCTCCAGGCAAATAGGTAGATTGGTTAGATTTTGTAAAAGAGCTTCCAGATAAACTTCATCACTCTGAAATAAAACAAAATGGAAATCGTTAAATCTATGAAAGATATGACGAGCAACAAAATATTGATGTTGAGAATTCAATAATCAATCACACAAGCAAAGGCATAGTTCAATAACCGCTCTAGATCAATGCAAATGCTTACGAAGAGTTAATTGAAGTGTAGATTGAATAGACAATGACGAAGCATTAGCATCTTACAAATTGGAAATTGGGAATCAGCAAAGAGTCTATGCCATAGACTTGATGTGTGAAGCGAAAGGATATTATACAATGCACTATTTACCTCTGCATTATAAAACTTGGTCTTCACATCCAACGGTTTTTCAACTTGAAATTTAAAATATTTTCTAAAAATATGTGGTTCATCAGTTACAGTTCTGTATGATATAGAAAAGATTAACCTGAAAATTAAAAACAAAACATTGGATTAGAGAATCATCGTTAATTTCATATCATCAGTTGAACTTACACATGAGAACCCAAATCTTTGATTTCATAATGTTTGATTTCATCGAGAGATTGCTTTGAATCCAAAAGGGGACTTTTCAGGAAACCAATGTTAATCATTCGATCATTTGCAAATTGCAGGTCAATTTTAACACTGACATCTTTAACTGGTTCAGTCACTGAATCATTGACAACCATAATTGAGAAGCAGAATGTCTCTCCTAAAAAAATTTGAGACAAGCTTTTGGGTAATCGCCTCCATTTGTCAACAAATTGTTTACCAATGCTGTCAGTTTCAAAATTGTCATCTGCTAATAATAATCTTTCAAATTCACCTGGTTCCATGAAGTGATCAGTTTTAACATCTCTGCTAACAACTCTATTAACTGAAATAAATAGAAAAAAACACCAAACAATTAAACGGAAAACAACAGAAACCAACAAAAAAGGTAGCCTATGTATCAAAATAAACAAGATAATTTCAACAGACTTACCTCTAATGGAGATCAAATCAGTTCTATTGTCCATAACAGCTAGAGTATTTAGATATGTTTAATTACAATGTTAATGAGCGTTTTAAATACTAGATTAATGTTGATTGAAATTAAAAATATAAAATAAATTAAATGACAAGATAAAAATAACCTAAACCAGAAAGCAGAAAGAGAAGCTAAATCATATGGTTGAGTTGGTTGTGTTGTTATTTAAAATGTGAATGGCGCCAAACAAGATTTTCCAATATTTTTCTGTTCATCAATTCAAATATTGATAATAGATTCATTTTTAGAAGCAGAATTAATCAAATCATTTAAATAATGGCCTCAAATTGAACTACTATCAACTAATCTTATTATTGAATGAGGAAATCCAGAGACAAATCAAGAAAAGGATCATTTCTCGGTGCAAATAAGTAAACTAATTTTCAGATTCATCAGCCGAGAACAAAATTTAATATAAAATGACCTCCCCCGATCAGGCAGAGTTGATTTGCTGATCGAGGAAGGGTGAGTACGACAATGTCGCCAATAAGGCTGTATTTTTTCTCGAGACGAATTTATCCCGATTTTACTCGGACTACAATTATCTTGTCTGCAATTTTAGAATTTATTATAAAAATTCAGGTTGACCTTTTGGCTTCTGACGACTCACAATTAGTTTAATATAAAAGATGACCCAATATCTGTGTGGCTATTTTGTCCCCACTTGATATCAGTTTATTCAAGTAAATCGTTTTTTACCTTACTGTTTACATGTGAAATCAAATGAAAACACCGAATCAACTGGTTAACCAATATTTCCAAGCCAAGTATCTGTTTACATTGATCTAAATTTGATACGATTAAGGTGAAAATTTAATGAAATTGGTCCAACAGAACAGATAAACAACGAATTAATCACAGGTCAATCCTTATTACTTACTTAAATTTAAGTAAATTATGACACTAGATGTAGACTCTGTCGTACTGTTGAAGCAAAAAATTGTATTTGATTCAATGAGAAATTATTAATTGAGAATCAAAAGAATGATAACAAAATATATTTCAGGTCGAACAGGATGTTTCTTACTCAGGACAAAATGATTAAAATTTACATTTGTTTCAATTGCATGTTACCCGAGAAACTTTGAATTGATATGAGATACTTTTCTCTGAACTATCAATAGTTGAGTTTTTTAATGAAAAATGCAGCTGTATCAAGATGTTAAAATTGTGCTGTTTTATTGATAGAATCCTGAATTGGACTGGAAAAAGTTGATATTTACAAAAATGATCATGTATTTTACATGTATTTTTACGTTATGTTTGACTTTTTGTTATTAAGTTAACAAGGATAATATGTATGTTTTTTGAAGCACTTCAAAATGGTGAATTACTGTGAAAAATTTTGAGCTTCTCAACAAGAGCATGTTTAAGTGTATTTTTGATCTGATAAAATCAATGGTTAAGATGCCAAATTAACCTCCTCTTTGAACGTTGATTGGACCACATGGATTTTGTGGACAGCAAACCTCCACCAATGCTCCGAGAGCCAAAATAGCCCTCTTCCTGGCTTGTAGGAAAAATATAACTTTGATCAGTTATTTTTGTCACTCAGAAACTGAATAAATTAAGTTATTGAGTTATTAAAGTTATCATGAGCTAGAATATCTAACAAGGGAAGAGACCTTATTGGTACCGGCTTTTTTCCACCACTTTTTTATCGTCTTTTCACCATCTTGTCCGCCATATTGTCCATCACCCAATCCAACACAGCCATCAAATCAACCAAATCAAACATCATCACTTCTTAAAGATTTTTCTCAACAAAATTGTTAACCAAATCGTCCACGGTGGCGGACAATCTTATAAAAAATTGTTTGAAATGTGGTGGAAAAAATCGCACGATGCACGATTCGATTTGAGAAATTTCATGATGAATCGATGGAAATAAGTTGCAAAAGATTTTTGGTGAAGTGTTAGGACCTGCAAATTTTCGCTTCAATTTTTATTCCAATTTTAAGTCTGATCAGACCTATTGTTATGAACTGAAAATGACAAAAACAAAGACATTGCACAAAAAATTAAACAAAATGAATGTTAGTCTCAACTTGAGAATGGCAATTTTTCATCGGTCTCATTAGACTTAGAATGAAATAAAAACTGAAGCAAAAAATTGCAGATCCTAACACTTCATCAAACATCTTTTTTAACTTATTTTCATCGATTTATCATGAAATTTCCCAAATCGAATCGTACTTAGGTGGCTTCCCTAGTAGGAAATTTATCTCTAACAAGAGAAGTGCCTTTGCTTGTACGTTTGTTTCAATTGTTTTCGGGTTTATATTGTAGAGGACGAAAAATATTAGACGCTTACTTTTGCTTTTGCTGCTTTAATGATATTCAATCACTTTTAAGCGAGGATATTGCATATAAATCTATTGGAGTCACTGAAAAGTGATTCACAATTTTCATTAAGAGATTTTCATTTTTCTGCTTTTCATCTGTTTTATGTACTTCTCAGTGGCTGCAATACATTACTATCTTCAATTAAAAGTGCCTGAATATCATTAAACACTAGCAAAACAAAACCAAAAGTACGTGTCTAATTAGTTCGTCCTCTACCTTATAAACCCGAAAAAAATGAAAACAATCGTACAAACAAGGGCACTTCCCTTGTAAGTTAAAACAGTCGACGAGAAAGTGAGAAATGCAGACTGACCGATGATCGTGATTTATATTTTGATTGATTCCCAAAAGATTGAGTCTACTTATTCACACAGTACTGGTTTAGCCTCTGCTAAAAGCTTATAAATATCATTTTTATGTGTTTACCGTCACAATCAAGTGAACCTTTCGGATCATTGGAAAGCAATATGGTTTTTATTGGATTTTAACAAACAATATACATTTACAATAAGTGATCAACCTTTTAATGTTGATTACCACCGACGATATTTTTAGGTAAATAGGCGGACAATCTTTACAAATCTCCACTAAAAACGACAAAATCTGTAAATGGATTTATATTTGCCATTCTCTGGTTACTCTCTTAGCATCTATTTTCCCTTTATTTTTTTCCAACAGTTATATTTTCCTTCTCAAATAATCGTTATTAGTTATATCATATTATACTCAAGTTATTATTGATGTAAATTCATTGTACAATTCAGTTTAAGTTTATTTAAGTGTGTAACAAAGTTGCAATTGAAAGCAGGAGAAGCCATTATAAACCTCTTGTTAGATACACAAAAAGGTACAAATTGATTAATTAACAGCAATCTGTAAATCTTTCTTTCTGTTTACAGGAAGGAATTGACTCTCACCAATCAAGACATCAACCATAAACAGGCAATTTGGGAACAACAAGTTACAACAAACCCGTCATTTCAAGTTTTTTCAAACAAAAGTTTCAACTCAATCTATCCTTTACCTACAGCATCATCTTTAGCTATTCAGACAATAATGTTGTGAACAGCAACTTGACAAATTACAATATTTTATTCAAATACAACAACAAGATTGTTGGCTAAAACAACATGGAAAAGCAGGAGGAATGAAAAGTACAACCTCTTGAGGCAAAAAAAGTGTAACTTCTTAAGAGGAATGACCAAGTAATAGGAACAAAAACGTTTCGGCCTTAAATTAGCCTGGTTGTTGGTACAAAAGATGTATGTCGACAAGCCCATTGAAACAGGTAAAGTAGAGGATAAAGAAGAGGGTAAAACATAAAATGGCAAATGCAAAGTTACCAAGTACAATCTGTGAAATAAATATCTTAAATGAGGTATTTACTTGGTTTTTCTTGCCAAACCTGTAAACATACAGAGCTAATTCAACATTTTCATATGAAAAAAAAACACTTATTTTGCTCTCATCATTCGCTTTTTGCTTCTTCTTCTTCTTTATCATCTTCATCTCCATCTTCATTTTCATCTTCCCTCTCTCTCCTTTCCTTCCCTCTCTTTCCTCCCTCTCTTGTCGACCCTGTCTATCTACAAGAGATTGTAAATATTTGTTTGACAAAACAATCCAGAAGCAAAAGCATCTTGGACAGTTTTAGCCTCATCTTATATCTCATCCTTGCCTGTTCAGATCTTTATAAAAACCACAAAAAGCTTAATTTCTCAAGTCTCTTCTCTTATTTTTTTTAACTCCTAGGCTATTCTGTTTCAAGAGGATGACAAAATGAATAACAACCTTACAAGCCAATCCTTAAAACAACTCATATATTGTTACACCCGACTCTGAAGTCTACTTGCCATTTCTTTATAATCATCATCACCATCATCACTCTGTCATCTTTAAATTTTTTTCATTCCGTTGACTGGTAAAAGTACAAAGTAGTAGATGAAAAACATCATTAATCAACTTTGTCACCATTCAACATAAATGCACACATTAGGTAAATCAAAATTAAGCTGAAACACTTATCATGGACTTGTAACTTACCGAATATTTTATTCAAATGAAGTGATTTTGTTAACTTAACTTATCAACAATTCAAAATTGACTTGAGATGTTCCGTAACATTGCAATCAATTTTACAATTCATCTTTTATATTTTGATATTCATCATTGATAATACAATTTAGGCTTATTGGGTTTGGTAGTAGTTACATTTTCATTGATTTGATATTTTAAAATCCAATTCTCTTGCTTTGTCAATTTTCTGTCCGATTCCATTTCATGATCAATTTTGTTCTAAACTCGTTAATTTGATAGTTTCACTGTAATTTTTTCAATTGGTGACAAGTTGGTGATATTGACTTCAAACCATTTTTAAGGTCTCTTCAGGGATGAGGAATAGAGGCTTACAACTGAGATCAGTTGCTAAATAACTTCAATTATTAATCTAATCAACACTATTTGAGGTTAAATTATTTTATTTAAGTTGAGATTTTCAAGACAATCAAATATCAACAAGGTAATAAGTTATTAGACCAGTATTTATATTAAGCAAAAGGGAAAAGAAACAAAAAATGTAAGATTAAATTAAAGGGGATTGACATTGAATTACAAACTGTAAATGAAGAGAGGCTAAATGAAGTGTCGACCCCTTACAAATTATATGAATGCACAAATGTTATCAATTTGAAAAGAGCTAACTCGGACCTGTTCTAATGAAGTAATTGTTACTTTTTTTCTTATATCATTTCAACCCTTTTCTCTTCCTTTTAAAGCTCTATTCTTGGTTACAATAATCGCAATAATATTCCTTAAGGATGGTTGGTTAGGCCTGAAAGATGAGTTGATGAACGAATCAAGATGTTACCTGATGTTAACTGAAACAATGTGAACAACAGTAGCCCAAAGTAAACTTAATTTTGATTGAAATAACTGTTTTGATGAACAAGGATACTCTGGATGGTTAACAGGGAATAGAAAAGGTAACTTTATTTGTGTACCTTATTATTATAGGCATCTTTCGTCTATTGATTTGATTTGATATTACCAAGGAATTACGTTTTCTCATCATTTTTCCATCCATCTTTTTTGTCTCTTCATTTGTTATTTTGTTTCCTCCAGAGTAAACTCTAACCTGTGGCAAGCTATAAGATGAAAGCAACTAAACAAGAAGGTAAAAGATTACAGATGAACCTGAAAGTCCTGTGAATTTAAATTCATTCTGGTAAATCTTCTGATGAACACAATATTTAAACAAATTTTCCCGGTTAAAATGGTCTCCAAACCAAAGGTAATATCAAATATTTGTTTTGATTCATCTTTCAGTTTGATATTCAGTTATTGATCATAACTATCAATAAGCTTGTTACCTATTTTTAGACAATTTAAATCTCGAACTAATTCATTGAATGAAATTATTTTGTATCTCAAATCCGTAATATTTTTCCTCTTTCATTTTTCTTCTCAGATTTAACCGAAGAGAACCTGTAAAAGATGATAATCAGTTGATACCAAGAACCATTTACCATGGAAAATATGATGACAGGATAAAGAAGAGGTGAAGATGGTTTAAAGAAGACAACAAATTATCATTGAGAAGGCGGAGAAGAGCAATTGTGTATGAAGATAAATTGAATAGGCAGCTAAATGATGAGGATGATTATTGAATGAATCAACCCTGGAAGTCTATTTAATCTTGAAATAAGTTTCTGCCTCCAAGTTAACAATCTAACCAATCCCAGATTTGTTTGTGAACATAAAAATGGTCTTCTTATGCGATTGTTTGTAACATTTCGCCGAGTTGAATACATGCGCAGCCTTTATTGAAACACACACACATACATTATAATAACAAGAGTGAAGATGATTGTGGGTTGGATGCTTAAAGATAGTGTTACTCAATGATCAGAAAGTAGCAATGCTTGATTACTTGTTTCGTATTTTCAACCGAATATATCAATATATTATGAATCCATGCTCGGGAACTGCTCGTAAACCTAAATGTGCTCGTTGTCGTAACCATGGCATGATATCTTGGTTGAAAGGTCACAAGAGACATTGTCGTTTTAAAGATTGTAACTGTGCCAAGTGTAATTTAATTGCGGAGAGACAAAGAATCATGGCTGCTCAGGTAAGAATCAACTTTAAAACCATTAAATTTAGATTCAATTTAGAGTCAAATTTGATGGTTAGTTGAACAACTTTTAAATCTGTGAAAATTATTGAGTGATTTTTCCATCTTTCGTTCCAGGTTGCATTGAAACGTCAACAAGCTGCTGAAGATGCAATTGCGATTGGATTAAGAGCTGTAGCCACTGGAGGTCCAGTTGAAGGATACCTTCCACCGGGACCAATTTTCGGAATGTCAGTCACTGAACCTCGAGTTGTTCACGATGAAATGATGAAAGAAACTGAAAGTGATTCAGACGCCAGTCAAGCTTGTCAAAATTCAAGTCCCTTCGATCATGATCATGATCATTCAATGAAGGGTAAGTCTTTCACTTCCACATTTCCCATCAAAGTCACTAGTCAACACAGTTTAATCCTGATAAAGTCACTTGATCAAATTGACTTTAAATTGTTGTACAAAATATTAGCTTCATTAGTTTGCTATTTAAGTCAACATTTCCATTTCCAAGAAAAAGTTGATTCTTTTAAAAACAACAGCAAAACCTTGATTAACATTGTAAGATCGTTCTTTGGGGTAATTTATCCAGCTAATTAGCTTTAATTAGTCAAGTTGTTAACATTATTCAAACCATTTATTGTTCATTTTCTGGAAAATTTAATTGTGTGAAAATTTCAACTGAATTGTCAGGTTTGTTTACAATTTAAACGATAAATTAATGAAAGAACGAAATTTTATTGGATTAAGAGTTAACTTTAAATTTTGATTATTCTATTGAGTAAATCTTAATTTCGCAAAAGCAATTTATTTTTCGCAATAACCGGTTGTTTACCTGATTAAAGGTAAAAATTAAATCAGTCCAAGAACAGCAAATTCATGGATTTACCTTAAAAGATTATCTGTTAAGGTAGGAGCATGAAAGTCGGTGAAAAAAAAGAACAAGAAAATCATTTGATTATAAGAGTATTCAATAAGCATTCGGTACAGTTGAATGCCAGGAGCAATTAAATTGTTAATCAAATACAAAAGTAGCAAAATTGAATCAAAAATGATCCCAAATTTGAAACAAGAAACAAAAAAGAAACAAGAAATGATGAAAAAGCAATGAGAAAATCGCAAATGGTGAAAAATGGAAAAGCATATTAACTTGTCAGAAATATTAATTTTGTTATAAAAATTACCTTGATTATGTCAGATTTTGTCTGATTATTGAAGATGAAAGTGTATCAAAGTTAATTATCATTTTATTTTGACCTGAAAATTCAATCTTTTTTCCTCTTCATCTTCATCATTCCAACATTGTTCTTCTTGCTTTTTATCACCTTGTTTCAATTTTCAGTGAAACATTTCCAGTACTGAACAAAATTAACATGAAACACTGAAAGTAAACGCTTATTTAAATTTTAATTATTTAACTCTTTAATCATTTGAAAATTGCATTAAAAGGCTCTTAATTTGATGTTCGTTTTCAACGGTAAAAAGGCTTCTAAAACCTTGCAATCAAGTTTACCTTTTGTTTTTGTTTCAATTTTGCTTTTATTTTGCTCTTTACTTTCCATGAAATAAGATGAAAAATCAGTGAAAAGAAATTTTTTCAATTTAAATTTTCTCTTTTTAATCAATTTAAATTGCTCAATTAACAATATTGACCATCATTTAATCAAAGTAAACACTTTCTATTGAGTTTTCACGTTAACTTGCTACTTTACAACTTTGCCGTAAGGCTATTTTTACAGTTAAGGTTTGCTTTCTTAATTTGTGATTTTCATTTGATTTGATTAGTTTAAATTGTAAACAAATACTTAAGGTGCGTCAAATCACAATTTGAATTGTTTCTTTAATTAACTGTATCCAGTTTAACCATAAAATAATTAATGACTAAATATCAATCATATGAATGATTTAAATCACTAACAGCTCTTTAAAATTTCAATTTAACCTTTTCTAATTTGTTTTTTTAATTTTAATTTCTCAGATTCTAATCAATCAGACCAAACTAATGGTAAACAATCGATCACAACTCAAGATTATTTCGACGATTCCAAATCTGAATTGATTCGCATGGACTTATCTGGCGATGAAGCAAATGAAAATATTATGATTAATGTTACAAAAACAACTGGACTGACCACAATAACACCTACTTCAGTAACGGCCACTTCTTTACCTCCAACCTCATCGACACTTCCAACAGTCTCATTATCATCCTCATCATCTCCACCATTCCTCATTGGTACACCAATAACCTTTCGTGAAGTAAATGTTAAACAAGGTAAACGTCCAACACTGACAACTCCAGCCACAACCTTAACCATGTCTACCATGTCTTCTGGATCATGTTCATCTTCCTCATCAACTTCATCCACTTCCTCACTCTCTTCCATTGATCCAGGCAAAGATGTCGACTATCTTAACCAACTGACTCAAAACTGTCCCAGCGATTTTCGTCCAGGTCGGTTAACTGGAATTGAAATGTTGAGTCGAGTTTTTCCAACCCAAAAGCGAACCATTTTGGAATTGGTTTTACAAGGTTGTAATGGTGATGTTATCAAAGCAATTGAACAATTTTTATCCCTCAACGATTCAATACTGGCTCATGCAGGAAGCCGATCAGCTCAACTCTTGCCCTTTGATGCCAACAACCGTCGAGCAGCTGCAGCAGCAGCAGCAGCAGCGGCTGCCGCAATGATTACTGGCAATGGTTCAAGAGATGGAGATGCTCGTGAAATGAGTTTGTCAAGTTCAACCAATAGTACTTCCTTGTTACCCGGACATGCAATTAAATCGGCATTCACACCAATCCACTCGAGTCTCAACTTTATCCATCCGAGTGGTTACCTTGGTTCATCTGGAAATGCCGTTAATCTTGAATCTGGCAATGGAACTGGTTCCATGTTAAGTAGTGGTGCACTTTGTCCCGGTCGGCCTAGTCCTTTTGGATCAACTCTTATAAGTAGCATTTACAGCAGAGACTTTACTTGTCAACCTGTGATTGCCTCTGGAACCACTAATCAGTCCAATGGGTCAACAATTTCAACCAATTCTCACAGTTATCCCAATTCAACTGCAGTTCAATTCCTTCTTGGTTCCAATCATCCATTTGCTGTTCCTTCAGTTCCATCATTAGTTTCCCCTTGTCCACCTGGATGTACTCAATGTCCACCAACCTCGGCTGCAGCGGTTGCTGCTGCAGCAGCTTCGCTTCTCCGTCGACCTGCAAGTCCCAATCGACCTTTCAAAGACTCACTAGGATCTCGTCTTGTTGACATTTCATCTAAAACGGCTGTTGACCTTTCATCAATGGAAAGTAATGGATGGCGTTCAAGTCCGCCATCCACTAGTTTAAGGGAAGGTAAATGTTCAAATTCATAAAGATAAACAAATAAGTTTGTATTGCTTAATATAATTTCAAGTTGATTTAACGACAAAATCAGTTTAACTTTGAAACTGTAGTTAACTATTAATATTTATCCTGAAAGATCATTTATATATCAAACTCTTTACCTTTTCCCTCTTCATTTTAACCAGTAAAATCATTGACAAGAAAATGTAGAGCTTGATCAACAAACAATTAGTAATGGTAACTTGATAATTGTGAGATCAATGGTGTTTTCAAACAGTTCAAACTGTTCACCGATTGATACCAAGCATTTTTCAATTCTGTATTTATTGACAACTGTAAATCAAAACCACAAAACATCAAAATTATCATTCTCTTATTATAATCATAAAACAATTGCCATTAATTATTTATTAGAGCAATACAAGCTTGCAATATAAGAAACAAATAAATTAAAATGTTTCACTAAAAACAACAAAAGTCTCAAATTAATATCAATCAAAAAAACTGGTTCATTTGAAATGGGAAATGAAGCTTCCATAAATGTTAATCATCAACGGGTAAGTTAATCAACTAATGAAGGATCAACCAATGCTATAAGTTAACCAAAAATGTTTGATGTTTGATTGATGTTACATTTGAACAAAATGTATAGGCTTGTAAAGGAGGAGTTTTGAGTGAAGGAGGAGAGATGAAGATGAATAGAGATGATGAAGATAAAAGATAACGGTAAATGTTGTGAGATTGAGCAAAGACGGAACACGAGATGAAATATTATACGATGAAGGTATCAATGAAGATGATCAAGATAATGATAAATATAATAGCAAAATGCAACTTTATCCTTTTGCTTCAATTGTATAACAATTTGTCGATTGATAAAGGTAAATATTGAATGTACAAAAAGCGTAAAAATGGTTTTAAAACTAAACAAAAAGCAAAATAAAGTCCAAATGAGTATTTGTTTCAACAATGTTTATCTTTTTAATTCATATATTTGATTATTACTTGGACAACCGACAGCCAGCATAATTTGATGATTCATAATCTGAACGATCGTTTAGCAGTGAGCCGCGATTAAAACATGGACCAAATCAATGAACATAATTTTTATTACAATCAATCTTAATTTTATTTTCACAAAAATATTCTGTTAATTATAATCAAAGAATCTTGTTAAAAATTTCGAATTCATCCTAGGATGAGGTTTTGCCAGGCAGCTGGACAAAGGAAAGGGAAGTTCCAGACTCGATGATCTCATGTAAGCTACACAGTTATTACATTCGGGTTTGGAGTGGCATTTGCTGAAGCAAATATCAAAATGTCTCTTATTTCCTTATAGTGAGTGATGCCTAATTCAAGATTGAATTTTTCAACAACTAGTTTTGGTGATTGTATAATACTAAGAAATTGTTACTCGTCCATTTGTGTAGACTTTACGTGAAGGTTTCCTTCAGTTCTGGTTTCTTGGAATGCCCATTGTTCAGAAAAAGGTAGCCTCAAAGACTGAGTAAGACGAAGTGAAGATCGAGTGGAGTAAAGTGGAGTCTTGAGATTAACCAAGCTGTCTAACTCAGGTCTATCTGTTGGTAGATTGTACAAGCATGATTTATCTAGTAGGACTGCATTCGGATAATTTTTGGCCTCGTTTGTGATCTTCGTGAATTTGATGAGTATAAATGGATAGAATCGTTTTTGAATTGAAAAAGCACTATTTTTGAGATGTGAAAACGTCATTTTTGACACCTTTTAACGTTTCGCTAAAATATTTGTTTCATCTTCTGTGTATTGATATTTCCAAATTTCATGAAAATCCTTTTGCTCTCTACATCAGTCATTTTTTCACCTTAATACATTCGTCTTTGCTACGCTTCCGACTAATTAATGTTAACATTGAGCAGATGCTATAACAATAATAACAATATTTATACAATATTGTATTATCAAGTTTGGTTGACATAATAATGAGCAACAATGTTTCTGTTGGTTTGTCAAATGAGATTAAGTTTTGATGAAAATGGTTATCCAATTGAACCATTATTTATATTGTATATTTATATTAATAAACAAATATATAAATTAATATGATAATGATGATAATAAAGTTATCAATTCAATTTCAACCTCAAGAGAGTTGAACATGTTTTCAGGGTTGAGATTGAGATACTCAAAGGAGTTGATGTCAACTGTGAGTAAACAACATTGAAATATCCATCTTTTGACAGTCAAAGTTTCATTTTTTGGGTTCATTTTTGTTCCAAAAAAATTATCATTGAAACATTGAATCAGATTAAGTGAAACAAAGTTGCACCGTTTTCATGTCCATTACAATGAAGGAGAAGAAAAAAACAGATGAAAGTCCGAGCAACACAAGGCTGACCCCAAGGCAAGACATTTCGGTTTGACCTGTGTTATCCCTTCAGTTTATCTTGAAACTTTGAGATTTCTTGATGGAAATCGAAAATTCTTGCACCAAATGATTTATAGGATGAAAGGCCTGAATGTCATGAACCTTTGATGTTTGCATTCATCTCTTAACCTCTTCATCTTCGACTCATCTTACATGTAACCAGTTTTCCTGAGGGTAACAACAGTTGAAGATGTTGATAATAATAATGAGTGATAAGTTGGTGGCAAAAAAAGTGAATATAATATCAAATTGAATTAGGTATCAACCAGGAAAAAAAAGGTTAACCCAGATAATTTGATTATAACAATCATTCTCAGTGTTTCTCTTGGATAAAAATATGAACAGCTTTTTCCTCAAAATCTTTCCCTTTTCCACATGAAATGAAAATCTTTCAACTCTAATCAGTATGATCTTCATTCCTGTGGTTATAATAGCTGAATTTTGATACATATTTTACTTAATCTTCTTGACACACAAGAAAAAAAAATAAAAAATGAAGATTCTGTCAAAATACAGTTGACTGGACAAGTGAATAGTCCAAAGGGATTTCACTTTTTCTGTGTCTTTCCAACAGTTACTTTGTCTCAATTGAATCTCATATTTTTTTTGTTATCTTATTTTTGACACAAAAAAAAGCAGATTCATTGTCCAGTAAGAAACAAAAGACAAATTGTGTTGTATCGGCGCATAAAAGGACTGTTCAACTGGGTAAGTGTTAACTTGGACAGGACTTAACAAGTTTACTAGATTGGGATAAATGTCAGGCCTAAATGAAAGGTTTAACCTTTCATCTTTTGCTCCTACTCCAGCCATCTCTAAGGAGGTCTCTACGAGTAATGAAGAGATGAGAAGCTACTCAAGTTAATACTGAATTATCTTCCTCCTTAATCTGGATTCCTTGTTTTACCATCCTTTTCTAGATCCTTGTAAAGCCTCTTGTTTATTTATCATCATCTGTCAATCAAATAACGGTCAATTTAACGGAAAATTTTCTGCTCATCGAGTTGCTTTTTTGCTTCTCTTTTGTGAGCTACTGGGTTGACCTACTCGGTGGCCCGGCAAGACCTTCATCACCCTCATCATCACAACCTTATTACCAATTCAATGTTGTATAACTGTAATCCGCTCAACCTAATAATATTAACTAAAATGTTTACCACTTGATTAAACAAGTTGATCAGTAAATCAATCAAAGTAATACAATTGCATCTTTTCAGCTTTTACGGTTTTCCTTTTTTTTTAACATGATAAAATAGGAAATGTTCAATTGGCTTGTTCACTATCAATTAGCTTATTTCAATTCTGTTTGTTTGTTTATCATCTTCAAGCATCATGCTTGTGATGTTAAATTATTTAATGCAACTGTCAAAGGTTAACAGTGTTAAACATTCAGTACAAGAGCAACTCTACCAAAACAGATTAGCCTTTTTTTGAATTCCTTTGGTTAACTTTAATGTTTCTTGTTTTTCATTTTTTTTGTCTGAATGCCAATCAAACATCGGCAATATTGGCTCGATTCCGAGTCAGTTGTACTTGTCAAATGATCAAATCAATCAATAGTTTAAAACAAAATCAACAAAGGAAAACAATTTCTTCATTAACAAGCAACAAAAAGTATACCAAAAAATTGGATTCAAATTCAAACATCAAAACGATTCAAAGGCAGGATTGAAAGTTATTCAGTTTTCATTTTAAAATAACAAACATTCAAATATAGTTTCTTTCAAATATTCATAAGCAAAATTATCCAATTGTAATCAATTGTTAGTTTAAATCCAAGAATAACAAAATTAATACAAATGTTGTCCTCAAACAGAAGCAATTTTGTTGCATTTAAATGTTAAAACAGCTAAAGATTAAATCACTTCAACCCTCAACCAAGAGCAAATCTTGATGGGACAAGAGTCACTCTCTTGGGTTGTCTTAACATAGCCAACAGCCTGGTTGAGATTGAAAAAATAATTGAAACTCTAAGCTTTTTAACTGAAAAGATGAAGGGAATGTTGATTTGAATTAAAGATCCTTTTGAATTGCATTTTGTCTTGATTAAAATACACCTATTTTTAGGTTGAAAAATTGATGGCCAACAGTTTGGGCTAATTTGGATGATTGTAAATGTAATGATGAGTGAGTGATGAGTGAATATGAAAATGGTTGAGAGATGAAGAGTGTAAAGAGATTTATGTCAACACAGTAAATGTTTAATATTTAGCATTATTTTGATTCCCTGATGCTCATAATTGGATTTACTGTAACCACACTGAATAAAGTTACCATCATCATGATACCACTTTTGTTGATCAACAAACACCATCAATGAAGATGTTGGTGATCATCTTGATAGAGGGGAATAGATTGCCTTGAGCTATTAACATCAGATTTCTGTTTGCAGTTAACTAGTCAAATTGACTAACTTGATGAACCATGAAAAACCTTTTGTGGTATCTATTTAAGGTGGTTTTACTTGCACTTCATCATTCCAATTGATAAACTGTATTTTTATTGTTGGTGTTGATTTTATTTTTTCAAACCTTTTATTCCTCTTCGAGGTTCACATTTCTTTACAAATTCAAATCATGTTTTAACTTGTAACTTACACTGAATCTTAATTCATCGCAATTCAAATTTTTCCTTCTTTGCCATTTGCTTTCAATCCATCTCAAGTATCTTCATTTAACACTCATCTTTTCACATGCAAACAGTTCATCTTCATCTTATAGGATGAAAAATGAAACAAAATCAAACTGAAATCTCAAACAATTTAGTTGAGTTTAACTTTGATTGTATGTTAATCAGCCATGAAACCATCTGATAATCAAGTAAATAAACTTTACAGGCAAATAGAGGAAAAAATTGAACAATTTATGTTTCATGAGTGAATAGTGAAAACTGTTTCATCTCATTGAAATTGAAAAGATTGGATTTTATGTCCATTGATTTGTCCATTGATTGGATTGAGTGACATTTGTAATGACCATTCAACATTCAACAATGAAAATTATGTCGACTTAAAAAGTTTGAATTTAACCTTGCATTTAACCTTAATTCTGC